ACAATTATTCAGTGGATACCTAGATCAAGGAACCCATAAAGAAGTCCTATCACTTAAACTTGACTATTCCTAGTAAAGGTTCAACACTTACAAGGAGACACTTCCCATCCTAGAGGAGTGTTCTTTGATGGAAGGCTTCACCATATGACATCCCATTTTCTAACAAAAGCATTTGCAATAATTTAGTGACAGATCATCAAATCCCTTCCTCCTTCTTACCTGCTCTTCAATAGTGAAAAGGTGAGAAGACATTTGCACATACAGGATTTTAATTGCCAGTAACTTTACCCCTCACCTTTTCTCTTTCACCATTTACCTTACCATTGTCCCTTCCTTTGAAATGGTGCACAAAATTGTATCCTGTTTTCCTGTCGGCCTCAGGCTTGCATGGTGATTACAGACCTTGGAAACAACTTGTCTTTACTTCCGGAGGAAACATAGGATAGGTCTTTCCAGGAGAGTGGTTCTCAATGACACATATTAAAGGAAACGAGTCTCAAGAGAGGACTTTTTTGTGGAGTGGATGAGACGGTGACATCCACAATAGAGCTGTAAATGTGAGTGGCGTGGCAAGTACCAAGATATGATTTTTTTTCTGCTTCTAGGCTGTATGCCTGGGTCTAGGAAATTGAAGCAAAATCCTCTTCCAAATGGAGAGACCAAAACAATTGTAATAAAAGATGAGGTAGGCAACACGATAGTGTATTCCATACGGAAATGCTCCGGCAGCCCCCCCTGCCCTTACTCGTAGAAGACTGCAGCTGTGGCCAAGATGATTCTCTCGCCTTGATACATAATGTAAGGAATGAGGACAAAAGTTAAATGGTCAATAAAAAAAGCGAAACTGCCTTGCTTTCCTTTTGAGTAGTCGGCTGAAATAGCTTAAAAATAATATCAGTTGTTTTTTCTGTACAGTCTCCAAAATGGCAGCTTTCATCATCCTTTATATACTTCCCCTCAAGGATCTCTGCATAATTTCGTGACACTTAGCCTTTCAAGTGAAAGTTTCAATCACTTTTTGTATAAGTAGCTTCTGATGATGTAATAGGCTACTGTGCCCGGAACACGCGAGCCTGCCTGTAAGCTAAGGAGACGGTGCTAAGAGGTTTTTTAACCCTTTACACTCTAACATCAGTATGCATATTCTCCATACTGTTCTCTATACATTTTCTAAGGAGCTAACAAGGAAAACTCGTTTACTAATCAAGAGCTTCATCAGTTGGTGATCATTTTTCTTTCTTCTTGTGACCCTAATGTGTGAATGGGGGGTGATATTGTAAGGAGAAATTAGATGCTTGTCACTCTTGGGGTTCAAAGCATCTGTCGGTGTATGATCCATTACAAAGGAGAACTATTCCCAACGGTGGCCTACAAAAACGGTGGCTTGTGAGTTCCCGTTTTAAATGAAGGCCTCTGTATCCACCCTCACCCTCTATGGCTCTATTTGTTCATCTGTGGGTCGCTTTTAATCAAAGCTTGCGCCCGCGAGCAAATAAAAAAAAAAACTTTCGCATCAATTAAATTGTAATAATTGATTACAATAAATTGCGAAGTACCTGGACACGCAATCAGTCGAGGCAACCTTCTGGTTAATTAGAAAATACTTAAACAGAGGTTCAGAGACGCAATGACGGACCTTACAGAGGAGCAAATGTTAGAATTTAAAGACGCCTTCAGTCTCTTTGATCAGGTTGGCGATGGAAAAGTTGACAAGAGCCAAGTACCAGGTTTATTAAGGTCTGTGGGATTGAATCCCCTAAAACAAGACCTTGACAAAGTGAAAGAGAACCTCAAGTCGATGAGGGAGAAGCGGGTGACCTTTGAAGAATTCCTGCCCATTTATGTAACGCTCGCCAAGAAGCAAGCTGGTAGTGCCGAAGAATTTACTGAGGCGCTAAAGATGTTTGATCGCGATGGTAACGGGTATATCAGCTCGGCAGAGCTTCGACGAATGTTGACTGCGCTGGGAGACAAACTGACTGAGGCACAGGCCGAACACATCGTCGCGATGTTCGAGACCAAGGGGATGATAGACTATGAAAAGCTCGTGCAGGAAGTTTTGTCGAACTAGACTCGAACGACTTGAATAAACTACTGTGGGAAAAAACTAAAGGTGTGCCGCTTGTATGAATAGCCTAATGTGACTCGACAAAGCATATTTTCAAAATGGTCCGAACTAGAGATTTTTCGATGAGACCGCTACAAACCTTTCATTTGTTGTTTTTTTATTTACAGGTTTGAAGCTCCTTTGATCGCAATTACATCAAAGTTTTCCGAGTAATTATTCACTGCTCTATGCATCCACAAGAAGCGTCTATTTAGAAACAAAGGAATTTTACGTTTGTAAACTCGATTGCCTTTTGTCTATTATGTCTATTATGGAAATGTGGTAGACAATTAAGAGTTTCCACTCGCCGGATGTAAGTGCAAAATTTAATCGTAGACTTTTATTTGAAGTCTTGTCATTTATGTTCAGTTAAAAAACATTGTGTTATTTCACGGTTCAAATTATTCATTTCCTCTCCCTTACCTTCACTTGTTATTCAAAACTTTGCGTTAATCAGTTTTTACACCCTAGGGATTATATCGTAAATGTTCTAGCAATAAACACCTTTTTCCGCTTTGTGCTATTTTGCTTCGTTTTATTCGTATGCCTATGTCCTAATTCTCTGCTGCAAGATGCGCCTGCATTCTTTTCGCGCTCTTCTATCTAACCGGGGCCTTAATTTCAGATTTTTTTTTCAGGGTCGATAGGAAGTGTAGGACCATTACTTTGAACCAAGGCAGACAAACGATTGCGTACCCCTTGAAAAGCATGTTACTTAAACAAAATCTCAATTAGAGCCGATTAATGCGGATTTACGGGAATCTAATAATTACTGGGGGCTTACTCCGAGTAAGTCCGCAAGCAGCCTCTCATAAGCGCTGCGGAACAAGCAACTAAGGCCCACAAGATGCCGGTCGGCGACTGAGCCGGGTACAAGAGGTCTGTCATTTTAGCGTACGTGTAGCCGGACCTTTCCCTCCCCCAGGGTGAAACGAAAGCTTCTGTTTCACCTTGGGGGGGGGAGGGTACGGCAACACGTAGGCTACTGTCATTTTCGTGCCAGAACTCTCGAAGATCTTCGGCTGAAACCCGCAGGCTCCGTTTGTAACCTCAATTAAACTTAGCTAATGCCAAGTATTTGAAGTGGTCTGATCGTCCGGATGAGACTGATCCTAGCAAGGACAGTCCTTTATGTTTCAACATCCTAAAGCGGAAGCCATCATCAGCCAACAGTTGCGTCTGATGATGACTTCCGGTCAAGTTGTCAGAGCGTTAGTTACAAGTAACGTCCTTCTCAGGACTAGCTACATCCTGACAACCAGTATGCACCCAAGATCTACTGTTCTTCATAAGTTCAAACCATCTACTACATTGTAAGAAAGCTAAAAAATGTTTCCTCCAAGTGAGCTGCACATAAAAGATAAACCCCTGTTGAAATGAGAATTCCATGAGCTTCTAGAGGCCCCTCTGATGCAGCTTATCTGTCGCGCGACTCAATTAAAATCAGCAAAGAAAAATAAATTTTCAAGTCTTCCTTTTGCTTATAAAAATGTTTTAGGAAGAAATCACGAGTAACTAGACTTATCTTAGGAAATTTCAATTTTTTGGTTTGCTACTCTATATAAATTCTCCATCCATAATCATACTTGCTCTCTTTTGTTTTTTGTTTTTTTTATTCTTCGTTGTTTTTAAGGTTTGTTCCAATAACGTTCGTTTTCATAGAAAGAACAGAAAACTCAAAGTAACATGCCTCAGCTCCTAAATGCAAGACGATCTCTCTCTTCGATGCAGCAAAGGTTGTATGTAGTAAACACAATACGAGTACTTGAAATGATCCCCGGGCGTCAAACTTCCTTCCCCCTCTCCACCCCACTTTCCAATGTTTT